TAAAAATGAAGGACCTGATTTAAATCCGGGGAAAAAAAAAAAAAAAAAAAAAAAAAAAAAAAAAAAAAAGATAATAGGAAATAGGGAGACAGATTTTTTTTACAAAATAGAAGAGGACCAAGAGGGAGGATGAAAAGAGAATTAAGATGTATATGTACATATACCAACTCCCCATGAGGAATGCAATCATGTACTACAAATGTACTAATAAAAACTGAAAATAAATAAATTTATTTGCATAATGCATTTTAAAAGAATTACTGGTAGATGCTAAAACTAGTGGATGAAAGTTTTAGGAGGAACAAAATATTTATAGTCTTAATGTATCTCCCCATAAAATACATGTCAATGACAGGATAAAATAGTAACTTCCTAATGGAAATTCCTGACACACGCCACCTTAACTAAACCATCAAAGAATACCTTACTCTGAAATAGAACTCTGGAATTTATCCCTCCCATCTAGCTGTAATGCTATCTCTTGAGCAGCCCCTCCCCATCTTCTCCCTCCTACTTCCTGAGCCCCTGATAACCAGTATTCCAATTTCAACTTCTATGTGATCAACTTTTGTTTTAATCCACACATTCTTGTGCATGTTTATGGGGTACATATGTTGTGAGGTTTTGATACGTGTATATATTGTGTAATAGTCAAGTCAACAATTAGTATATCCATCACACAAACTTTTATCATTTCTTTTTGGTTAGAATACTCACAATCTCTTCTTCTGGGCTACAGATGTAGCTCAGTGCTAGAGCACTTGCATCAAGCCCAAGGTCCTAGGTTCAGTCCCTAACTGTGCAAAATGCTCTCTCCTGTTTTAAAATATATAATATTTTAACTGTATTTACTCTATGGGTAAAGACCAGGCCACATTCCTCCTCCCTAACTGTAAATTAAGCCTATTCCCACTCTGCCTCTACCTTCCCCACATATGGGAACCACTCCTCTCTCTACCTTGATTCAGGCAACTTTTATGATTCATCAAAAATGAAATAAAACCTAAAAATGAAGAAGTTCTCTATGTCTTAAAGGTTTGAGATGGAAAAATCTCCAGAATTCATTTTTAAGTTTTAAAAAACTGTATGAAATCCATTGCCTTACCAGTAAAAATAAAGGAAGAAATCAAAATCACTTTCAAAATTGCATAAAGCAGGGCCGGGGATTTAGCTCAGTGGTTCTGGCAACTGTCTCATAAGTGCAAGGACCTGAGTTCAATCCCTGGTACAAAAAAAAAAAATGCATAAAGCAAAATTTTAGAAAATACACTAGAAACTTAAGAGCAGTGGTTATTTATTAAGGAGTAGAAGCTAGATAAACAGCCTGGGAAGGAGACTTTATTTTATATTTTTAATGTTTTTGTTACAATCCCATAGCCATATAACCTGCCCAAAGATAGAATTTACATTAGGTATTCTGTTATTTATTTATTTATTTTGTTCCTAGGGATCAAACTCAGGTCCTTGTGTTTGTGAGGCAGGCAGCAGAACCACTGAGTTAAATCCCCAGCCCTACATTAGGATTTGAAAAAAGAAGAAACAGTTATCATATGTAAATTCATCATTAGAAGTTGTAAGAGGAAGGAGAAACTGTAGGGAAAATTCTGATTAATACAATGGAGAAAAAATTATGATGCAGATATTAAAGAATGTTGGGCTTGAGTATAGCTCAGTGTTAGAACAATATGCTTAGTGTGAGAGAGCCCCTGGATTCAATCCTCAGCACAGAAAGAAAGAAAGAAAGAAAGAAAGAAAGAAAGAAAGAAAGAAAGAAAGAAAGAAAGAAAGAAAGAAAGAGAGAGAGAGAGAGAAAGAGAGAGAGAGAGAGAGAGAAAGAAAGAAAGAAAGAAAGATAATAGATAGATAAAATAACATAAAGAATATGGGCTATAATTCATGGTTTTCCTATACTTCCTAACATAACAGCCCTGTGGTGCTGTGCCTGCCTGGCAAGTACAAGGTTCTAAGTTCAATCCTCAATACTGGAGCAAGGGGGGGAATCACAAGGAGAATTGGGGTGTAGCTCAGTGGTAGAGCACAGGCCTAGTGTGGGGGGGGGGGCTGCAGTTCTATCCCCAGTACTGCAGAAAGGGGAGGGAGGAGAGGGAAACAGAAGAGAAAAGGAGGATTGGGAAGAGAGGGAGGGAAAAGAGGAAGATGAGGAGAAGATGGCGGCAGCATAGGGAAAATGAAACTCACATGAGAAATAAAATTCACAAAAAGGAAGATACTCAGAAGCAGAAAAGACTTTTTTGTGGTGTGACAGAGTAGAGGTGTTAAATGAAGATATAAAATGAAACACTATTGAAGTTTACTAATTTTATGTCATTGGGTAAGTTAATTTCTTCTAGCCTCAGTGACATCTCTAAATTGAATTGACATACATTTTAGAAATATAAGTTATGAAAGTATGAAAATTAAAACACCAGCAGTAAACGTTAATATTGAATCAACTTATGGGAAGGGCCATTGTTTGGTACACCACATTGTATTCATCCTGAAGAATGGAGACATGTGCCATGAATTGGAGGGCATCTGAGGGCCATGAGGACGACAGGAACAGGGAGAGGTAAATATATTAGCAGGAGGGCCTGAGGGTCTCAGAGCTTAAGAAGCATTGAAAATTGAGGACATTTAGAGATGATCTTTTTCATTTGAAATCCTTACCTGAACAAGGCAGTTTCTTTTACTACTCCCAACATAACATTGTGTGCCTTCTGCTCCCAGTTTGTTTGCCATTGTTGCATTTTAAAAAACTGACTGCAATATTCTCTCCTTTTTCTGTCCAAGGCACACAGATCTATTCGTGGTTTACATAAGATCCATCTACTTTACTTCATACCTACTTTCATAGTTTCAAAACATCCTAATTGCATTTATTGCTGAAATGAATTTCTCATACTGTTTTTTCTTGTTTATTTGTTTGTTTGTTTGTTTTTGGTACTGGGGATTGAACTCAGGGATAGAACTCAGGATCTTGTACTTGCAAGGCAAGTGGCAGCACCACTGAACTAAATACCCGGCCCTCTCATACTGTTTTAAAATTATATGAAAATTGTTTGCATGCAGCAAAGTGTATAAAAACTAAAATGAGTATTTCATGAGTTTTTTGGGGGGTTAAATGAAATCATTCTAAGTTGCCAGGTGCAGTGAACTCAAATGCCCAATCCTCCTGCCTCAGCTTCCCCAGTGGCTAGGATTACAGGGGTTTCCCAATTCTCCCAACTAATACATATTTTATACGTCTCAAAAGATGATAGAAAGATAGTTACTAATAATTTGACCTGGACTCTGGATTACTCTGAATCCTGAAGACTTGTTAGCACAATGGCTCAGACATCCTAACTTTTTCCTAATGCTGCTCTTTCCCTCCTCCTGAGGCCCCTTTCAGAACAGTTTCTGTGTGAGCACCACTGTGCTTGGGTTTCAGGAATCCCTGACATTCCAGGATGTGGCTGTGGACTTCACCAAGGACGAGTGGGAACGGCTGTACCCTGCTCAGAAGAACCTCTACCGAGACGTGATGCTGGAGAACTACAGGAACCTGGTCGCACTGGGTGAGGAGAGTCCTGAGCCCGGGAGCCAGCAAGAGTCTCAGTGCTCTGGGGATGGGGTATAGCCCCCCGCAGAAGAACGCTTGTCACAGTGGAGACAGAGAGCCTTGTTCCCTGCTCTCTCCCCTGAGGTGAAAGATCCTGACTTTGTGCAATTTGAAGTGAGGAGCTTTCTCCTGCTGCCTCTGAATCCTCTGCTGTCCAAACCCAGAGGACCTAAGGACTGAAAGGGGTGGAAATAGGTTCTGAGAGAGAATTTTCCTCCTGATATAAAATGCTAAGATGTACATTTTCCCATGAACAGGGCATCAGGTTTATAAGCCACCAATGATCACTCAGCTGGAGCAGGAAGAGCTGTGGATGAGAGAAGGAGGCCGCCCAGTGGGAGCTCACCTAGGTGAGAAGCAGGTATCTGGGCATTTGGTTCTCACCGAGGGGAAAGAGTCACCTCTGAAATCTTCTTTGTAGCATGCTACCAATCTCCCTCTGGGATTTCAAGAGTACTAAGTTGCATGCTTCCAGAATCCAAAAGACTATTTTGGGGGGCCAGGGATTTAGTTCAGTGGCACCATGCCTACCTCGTAAGCACAAGGTCCTGAGTTCGATCCCCGGTATGGCAAAAAAAAACCAAAAAAACAAAAAATACTATTTTTTTCTGGTTGAACAAAATCATATATTTATCATGAACAAAATTTACCCAATACAAAAGTTCTTTTGCAAGTTTGAGTACCCACAATCAATACATTGATGTTATGGTTCTCCACACTGCATTTTTCTCTGTAATTTTTGTTCATACATCTTGTCAGTATTCTTTAAATCTTTCTTTTCCAAATCAAAATTCCTCTGTTATTTTCATCTACTTTTTCTTTTTTCATTTTCTTTTTATTGTCACACTCTTTAAAGCTATCATCTGAACCCATAACTTCATTTCTAATTCTCTCACTTGCCTTTGGGATACAGCCCCTTCCCCTCTCGCCCCCTACACTACTAAAATTGCTTTCTTAAAGATTATCAGTGAGTCTGTCCCATCAAATCCAGTGGCTAAAAGCCCATAATGGTTTATTGCATTTCATTGTGTTGACTTTACTTTCTGGAACTTCCACCCTGGCTGTGGATCCACTGTTCCTGTCCACTCTGTCTCTGTGTCTCACACCCCCCACTGCCTCTTCTTCCTCATTCTCTTAAACTCATGTTTACCTGTGGCCTTGGTGTTCTGCTGTGCAGTGCAGTGCCTTTCAGTAACTCTTTGATGTTATTTTCCCATTTCTACATTCCTGGCCCCAATATTTCACCCATGTTCTCCTTCCAAAATTTGAATTACACTTTTATTTATTGACATCATTTAATTAAATACATACCTCAATAACCCTCCACACCTCTACCTTGGCAGTACACCATTAAAGGAAAAAAATCAAAGAATTCCCCTTTCAAGGGGATTACCAAGATTACCAAGGTTGGAAACTATAGCAGAGGGCAGAGCTAATCTTACCCATCGTATAATGTATATATCACCATCTGTAGTATCTACACTATTTCCTGTTGTGTCCCTGCCCACATACCTCCAAACAAAAAAAAAATTTCTAATTTATAAAACTTCAGATTTCATTATGCAGGCTGGGTGTGGTGGTGCACGCCTGTAATCCCAGCCCTCGGGAAGCTGAGGCAGCAGGATCACTGTGAGTTCAAGACCAGCCTGGGATACATAGTGAGTTCCAGGTCAGTCTCAACTACATAGTGAGACCCTGTCTCAAAAAAAAAAAAAAAAAATTTTTTTTTTCATTATGCAGCTCTGTGTAGGTACCCAAGGCTCTTGGTTTGCAGATCAGCTTGAACAAGGGATTTTTCTTTCACATCCCTTGTCACAGACAGGCACCCTCACCCTGAGTCTAGTTAATTCTAAGGAAGTTACTTTCTTCATTTCCTGTGAGACTATTTATCAGTGGCTCCTCTTATGAAGATAGGGCAAAACATTTCTGTTGCTCAAAGAACTGAGAGTGATCTCCACTTGTACGACTGAATTCTGCCATCTCCTCTGGGGCACTGTATGCCTCATTGTTGCTGACATTGCTACTACATATTTTTCTAAAATCTCATCTTAGCTAAGACTAGACCAGAAAATATCTAAGGAACACATATGTTCATTAACTTAATTCATTCCACCATTTTGGGGAAGATGGCCATGGACATGTTCATTACCCAATGCAGAGTTTGCAAACAGAAGTATTTGTGAACCAAGGTGTTACTGTATATAGTATTAATGAGAGAAGAGATGGGGATGGGTGATTAGAACAGTCAGCTTGTATGTGGTTGAATGAACAAAGTTAAAAAATAGGGCTGGTGTATATACAGTATTTTTAGAGGAAGCTAGACAGAAGGTGAGAATAAAGAGAACATTAGCTAGAAGCTAGAACAGAAGGTGATGTCAAGAGATGATTGTTCTAAGCAAGAATGATTTTAACTTGTTTATAGTGCTAAAGTCAAGGAGTCAGTAATGGGGATAAGTGAAAAATAGATATGAGAGATGATCGAAAGTTCCAGAAGACCTGGGAATGTGATTGGAGGGAAAATCGGGAACAGCTTATGTAAATAAATTTGTTGGTGGAAGATTTCAGGCAGTTCCAAAGGGTGATTTCAAGTTTCTTGGCAATTTAGGAGGTAAGATCTTCTGTCGAGTGTAAGGAATCAGGAAAGCAGGTAGTGGTGGGACTAAAGGAGGAAAATTGTGTGAAAGAGAACTAGTTAATTCCAGTGACTTGACATAGTCCAGGAAGTGACAGGAAGTAAAAATGAAGCCTAAAGAGGATTGAAAAGCAGAGTCCAAGAGAAGAGTCAAAGAAATAGTAATCAAGATGAGGTCAGAAAACAAGTAAAATGTGAATGAGATCTTGAGACCACTGATTGGACAGAATGGAACACTGAACTAGAAACATATTAAGTGAGGCAGGCAAGATTTGAAGTATATAGGGCCCAGGATTTAGCTCAGTGGTTCTGCCACCTGCCTCTCAAGTGCAAAATCCTGAGTTCGATCCCCAGTACCAAAAGAAAAAAAAATAAAAAAGATTTGGAGTATCTGTACAGCCAGGTAAGTAGATTGTTGAAAAGGAGTAAAGGTAAAGGCACACCAGTTAAGAAACAAAATGGAAAAGATGAGCCAATTTAACAGCAATTTAAAAAGTAGGAATAACCTTCTACAACACTTGCATGAGGAAAAACCTTAAAACATGTCTGGCAGATCCAAACATAAACTTCAATAAAGTGGACATTCCAAGATATCAGTTTCCCCTATGCATGTAATGCAGTCTCATAAAATGTGCCTTAAAATTCAGGGAGGGGGCTGGGGATTTAGTTCAGTAGTTCTACCACCTGCCTCGAAAGCACAAGGTCCCAAGTTAAATTACCAGTACCAAAAAAAGTCAGGGAGAAAGGCTGGGTGTGGTGGCACATGCCTGTAATCCCAGCACTTGGAAGGCTGAGGCAGGAGAACCACTGTGAATTTGAGGCCAGCCTGGGCTATATAATGAGTTCAAGGCCAGCATGAACTACATAGGTGAGACCCTATCTCAAAAAAAAAAAAAAATCAGGGAGAAGCCAGGTATGATAATATACATGTGTAATCTCAGTATTTGGGAGGTGGAGGCAGGAGGATTTCTATAAATTCAAGGCCAGCCTGGATTATATAATGGATTCAAGTCCAGCCTGAACTACATGTCTCCAAAAAAAAAAGTAATGACAATAATAATTTTTAAAAATAAAATAAAAATTGGGGGAAGGAGGGCATAGCTGGATAAGATTATTCTAAAAGTCTTATGGAAAAATAAAACAACAATAATCAGGAAAACTCTGAAAAGGAAAAACTAAAGGGGATTATCTCTAGAACATTGAAATGCAGAATACAGTTTTGGCAGTTCAAACAAGCCAGACCAACTGAATAAAACAGAAAATCTAGAAGTAGATACAAGTACATGTAAGCATGTAGTATAAAGGCATTATTTCAGATTAGGCAAGGGAAAGGGAATATTTTAGTAAATTATTTTTTTGTTTGTTTCTTTATTTTTTTTACTGAGGATCAAATTTAGGACCTTGTGCTTGCAAGGCAGGCAGTGGAACCATGGAGCTAAATCCCTGGCCCTTTAGTAAATTGTTTTGAAAGGTGGACCTTTAATAAATGATGAGTAGCATTTTGGAGAAAGAAAAAATTTAAAATTAAACCACATATTTTTAAATTTCCCCTTGTTCACTGCTTCTTGTCATCCCTTATAGCCTTTCCCTTTGTTACATGGCCCCAGACCTTCAGTGCCATATATGCCATGTGCATATTATTGTCAGTTTTACTTTGTTATCCATTTGCAGCAGTTGGTTTTTCAAACCATAGAAAATATTTGAAAGTATCTCCATGCTCTGTATCTCTTTTAGATGGGGACAATGGACCTAAAATCAAAAAATCAACTCTAAACCAGAATATTTCTGATGAAAATCAAACCTGTGACATTGTTATGGAAAGACTAACGGGAGACAATTTCTGGTATTCCATCTTAGGAGGACTTTGGGATTTTGATTATCAGTTTGAATTTAACCAAGAAAACCAGCAGAGACTTTTAAGACAAGTATCTTTCATCCACCAAAAGATTACACAAGAAAGAAGCAGTAACAGATTTGAAGAGAATTATAAAAAGAACTCAAACCTTATATATCAAAGGAGTCCTTCAATTAAAATACCCTTTAATTATAACACACCAGGAAATAGCATCAAACATAATTCAGACTTGATTTACTATCAGGGGAATTATGTAAGAGGAAATCCTTATGAATATAATGAATGCGGAAAAATCTTCAATCAACATATTCTCACTAATCATATTCATACTGGAGAGAATTCCAGTGAATGTGGAAAGAGCTTCAGCCACAATTTGTCCCATACCCAACCTCAGATAGTGCTCACAGGAGAGAAACCCTATAAGTGTGATGAATGTGGGAAAAGATTTAGCCAGAGAATACATCTTATTCAACATCAGAGAATTCACACAGGGGAAAAACCTTTTATATGTAGTGAATGTGGGAAAGCCTTCCGTCAACATTCTTCCTTCACTCAGCATTTGAGAATCCATACTGGAGAGAAGCCATATAAATGTAATCAATGTGGTAAAGCCTTTAGCCGCATCACTTCTCTTACTGAACATCATAGACTTCATACTGGAGAAAAGCCTTATGAATGTAGTTTTTGTGGGAAAGCCTTCAGCCAGAGGACTCATCTTAATCAGCATGAAAGAACACATACAGGAGAGAAACCCTATAAATGTAATGAATGTGGTAAAGCCTTTAGTCAAAGTGCACACCTTAATCAACATTTGAAAATCCATGCCCGTGAGAAATTATGTGACTATAAATTTGAGAAAACTTTAAGCCACAAGCCTTCACTTAGCAGCATATAAGTTGTGGTGGGGTAAACCATGAATTTATAAATAATGGAAAAATTTTATCAGATCTTTCAATATCAAATCATTCATTTTGGAAAGTTTATAAGTAAACTTCTAATGCATAGAAATCAAATAAATGTATACTTTAGTAACATGTATGTATACTTTAGTAACATGTATTCCCAGTAGGGGTTATAACTAGTGAAAATTATTTTATAAACAATATATTGAGCCATGGTCCAAATCTTATACAAGACTTTTAAATAAATGAACAGAAATTCTGTAGCAAATAACTATTATTATTCATGTAAGTTTGATGCTACGAAGCTTTGAACTTATATGAACATTATTTAAAGCAGTGTTATATTATCAGTTACAGAAAATAAACATAAAAGCAATACTTCTCAAACTTCAGTCATTTTTTTGACTTTTTAAAAGTAGTCTATATCCAGTCTTATTTTTTAAGAGCATATGATTTTTAGTGTGGCCTTGGAAATATTATTTATTGAAATTCTGAGTTTGATGTGCTAATTATACTTTACTTTGCATCAGATTATATAACTTTTGGAATTAAAAATATTCATTGGTACGCCACATAAAATTTTGTGTACCATCATTGAAAAACAATATGATGGAATATGTCCATTTTTTCTTAGTATTCTTTTAGCAATCTTTGCATCATTTTCTCTGAACAAATCTGAGTAACTTTGGGAAGATTTTGACAAACACTGAAGATCATGTTGATGAACTTTGATGAATTGATTTAGAGATGACTGCTTTTCTGTCTTATACAATTTTAAATTTCTCTATGGTAAGCATAGATTATTTTATTTTTTAATACACGTGTGTATTGTATATATCATCCAGTGTAACAGTTTCATAGATACATACAGTGTGCACTGATAGCAAATCTAACTTCCTTTTACTCACTTTTCCCCTTCCCCAATACATACTCTTCCCAACCTCTAGTAAATCACTAGAGGTCGACTCATGAGAGTGAACAAAACAATATGCATTACTTGTGTTTCTGCATCTGGCTTATTTTACTTAATATAGTGTCCTCCAGTTTCTTCCATTTTGCTGTAAATAGCAAGGAATTAATTCTTTTATGGTTGAATTATATTCTAGGGTGTATATATACCACATTTTCTTAATCTTGGATGTGTCTTACATAGGGCTCTTTGATCCATGTTAAGTTGATGATGGAGGGTTGGTTACTGGGGATTGAGCTCAGGACCTCACACCTGAACTACATTTCCAGCCCTTTTTATTTTATGTTTTGAGATAGGATCTCACTAAATTGTCCAGTGTGGACTAAAACTTGTGATCCTCTTGACTCAACCTCCAGAGTGCTAGGTTTATAGGTATGCACATTATGTCCGTCTATAAAGTTATTTTTGTACAGGGTGGGAGATAGAGGCCAAGTTTTAATCTTCTGCATGTGGGTATCCAGTTTTTCTAGCACTTATTGAAGAGTATGTTCTTCCCCCATGTGTGTCTTTGGAACCTATGGGAAAAAAAATCAGTTAACTACAGACGTACAGGTTTATTTCTAGGACCTATTTCTTGTACCATTGGCCTATTCGTCTGTTTTTGTGTCAGTCCAGTGCTGTTTGAGTTACTATGGCTGTGAAGATTATTTTGAAGTCAGATGTGAACTTCCAGCTTTGTTCTTTTTCTTCAAGATTGCTTTGGCTATTTAGGATTTTTTGTGCTCCCACATGAATTTTAGGATTGCTTTTTCTAGTTCTGTGAAGAATATAATTGGTGTTTTGTTTTCAGTGCACTGAATCTGTAGATTGCTTGAGGTAGTATGAACATTTAATAATATTCTTCCAGTGCCAGGGATTTAGCTCAGTGGTTCTGCCGTTTACCTCACAAGCGCAAGGACCCAAGTTTGATCCTGGTACCAATAATAATAATAATAATAATAATAATAATAATAATAATAATAATAATAATAATATTCCAATTTATGAATTTAGTAGGTCCAAATATTCTTCAATATTTTATCAGTATTTTATAATTTTTATGGTAGCATGTGTCACTTCTTTGGTTAAATTTATTCCTAGATATTTTTTCATAGCTATTGTGAATGCCTATTTTCATTATTTCTTACTTGGCAAATTCATTATTGGTTTCTAAAATTGGTTTTTGTACATTGACTTTGTACACTGAAAATTTACAGATATCATTTATCTGTTCTAATAGTCTTCTGGCAGAGTCTTGAGGTTTTTATATATAAAATTATATAGTTTATAAATGAAGATAATTGACTTCCTATTAGTATGACTTTTATTTCTTATGCTTAGTTGCTCTGGCTAAGATTCTAATACAGGCAGGGTAGATATGATCAAGACATAATATATCCAGGGCTGGGAATTTAGCTCAGTGGTTCTGGCACCTGCCTCGTAAGCGGAAGGTCCCAAGTTCGATCCCCAGTACCAAGAAGAAAAAGAAAAAGAAAGACATATATGTCCATGTAGGGAAATGTGCCATTAACTTGTGCGACTAATACATGTTTATTATTTTAGAAATACTCTTAGCATTATATTGAATATGAGTGATAAATGTGAAACTCCTGTCTTATTCCAGATCTTAGAGGAGATTCTTTCAGCTTTTCCCCACTCAGTATGATGTTGGCTGTGGGTTTGTCATATACTATTACCTTTATTGTGTTGAAGATCAATCCTTCTATACCAAATTTGTTCGAGACTTATCATGATAGGATTTTGAATCTTGTTGTATGGGGTGGGGGTTGGCATTCATTGAGAGAATCATATGATAATCCTTCATTGTAGATAATTATCCTTCATTGTATTGATGTGATGTGGCACATTTATTGAATCATCCTTGCATCCCTGGGATAAATCCAACTTGATCAAACTGAATGATATTTTTGTGCTTTTAGAATTTATTTGCTAGCATTTTGAGACTGTTAAGCCTGGGTTCATCAGGGATATTGATGTGTAGTTTTCTTTTGTTATATCTTTGGTATTAGGATGGTGTCAAACTCATAGAATCAGTTTGGAAGGTTTCTTCTCTTTCAATTCTTGGAATAGTTTTGCATTAGTTATTCTTAAGGTTTGTAAAATTCAGCAGTGAAGCTAGTTAGCCTGGAGTTTTCTTCACTGGGAGACTTTTTCTCAGTTGGTAAAGCTCATCTCTATGGCACATGTTAGCCAAGAGCTCAATCACTGAGCTATACTCGTAGCTTGAGAAACATTTTATTACTAATAATCTCTACTTGTTTCTAATCTGTTGAGGATTTTTATGGCCTAATGATTCAACTCGGATGTCAGGTGTCCAGAAATTTGTCCTTTTCTCTAAGTTTTCCAATTTGTTAGCATATAATTGATCACAGTATCCTTTAATCCTCACTTTTCCCTGGTATCCATTGTAATGTCTCCTTTTTCACCTCTAATTTTATTTACTTGGTTCTTCTTTTTCCTTGGTTAGTTGAGCTGACAACTTGTCGATTTTGTTTATCTTTTCCAAAAGTGATGTCTTTGTTTCGCTGATCTTTTCTCTTCTTTGGTGTCTAGTTTATTTCTGATCTTATCTTTGTTATGTCTTACCTTCTACTCATTTGGGGTTTGCTTTGTTCATGTTTTCTAGGTCCCTAAGATGCATTAGATTATTTGAATTTATAATATTTTTATATAGGCACGTCTTGCTATAAACTTTCCTTTTAGTACTACTTTCCCAGTATCAAATAAGTTTGAGGATATTATTTTCACTTTCATTTGTTTTGAGAAACTTTAAAATTTCACTTGATGTCCAAATGACCCATTATTCATTCAAGTCTTTTCTTGGAAAATAGGAACCATGACAGGATGATGCAGTATCCTCTGCCCAGCGATTGCCTCATGTGTTTAGGCAGGGACACACGATTTTCGTGGGTGGGGCAGGGAGCTGTGGATTGGTAGTGAGGCTAACTGTTGGCCTGTGCATATGCATGATGGGGAGGACATGGAGTGAATAAAACTCAAGGTCCTATGAGATATCTGAAAGCCCAACTGAGTGTCATGGAGAATGTTGTCTCCTTGCACTGCAGCAACTGGGACTGACTCTCTTATGGTGAGTAGGTACAAGAAAGGTATAACTGCTGGGGATTTAGCTCCATGGTACCACATCTGCCTTACAAGCACAAGGTCCTAAATTCAATCCGCAGTACAAACAGGTTTGGGGGAGAGGAGAGGGAGAAGGGTTTAACAATAAGTCAACCAAACCCAAGGGTATATCACCAGGAAAGAAAATCTAAAGATAAGTCCACATAGCAACAGAAATTTTCCACCCTGATTTTCAGCCGACAGAGTAAACCAATAGATCATGAGAAAGCAAGGCAACATGATGCTTCCCAAACCCTAACTCCCAAAAAACTGATCTCATGGGCACCAAAACAGAGGAAACTACAGGAAAATAACTAAAAACCCAAGTGCTCAAAATGTTTGAAGAGCTAAAAGAAGAAACACATAAGTCAGTAAGATGTCTAGCTAATCCAGAGAATTTTATCAGAGGAAGGATCTTGCTAATAAAATGTTCAACAAAATTAAAGAAGAAACAATAAACTGATTGACTTAAACAGTAAACAGTGCAATATAGGTTACAAATGATCTCTATGATAAAGAATTAGTGTGGAAAGAAAGCAAATAGAAATGCAAGATGTGAAAAATTTAATGAAAAGCATGGGTAGCACATTTGACCAGTGTGAGGACAACATTCAAAAAATAAAAATAAAAGATGAGGTGGATGTAGTGGATCATAAACTCAATAATATTCTAAAAATGACAAGACACCATGCAAGCTGGATCCAACAGCTCCTAGATGACCCAAAAAATCCACCCCTCAGAATCATAAGACTTAAGGAAAATGGCTCAAAATGTATAAAAAGTCATAACAGAAATGTTTATGAATTTTCTAAATCTAGGGAAAGAATTCAAGTACCAGAGGCACATAGACCCCCAGATAGCCACAACCAGAAAAGACTCTTCTCCATAATACATCATAATCAAAATTCCAGAAGCTCAACAAAAGGAAAGACTGCTAAAAGTTGTTAGAGAAAAACAAGAAGTCACTTATACAGCTAAGCCTATCACAATTACATTGGGTTTCTCGCACAAACCTTAAAGGCTAGGAGAGCTTTGAGTAAGGTCTTTCAATCCCTAAAAGAAAAAAATTGTCAGTCCAGGCTTCTACATCCTGTGAATTAGCCTTCAAAATTGACAAAGAAAT